ACGCGGCCGGCACGTATGTAACAAAGAGCGACTTGCAGAATATCCCCCTCTTCACCGACAACAACTTCCACTGTCTGATCGATGACGATGTTGACACTGCAGTGTCGGGGTCTCAAAAGGCTTACGACAGGTGGACACACACAGATAATCATAAAGAAACTTGCATGCACACACACACTCTTAATCACGCCTCTCTTCCTGTTCCTGCAGGATTGTCGTCACCACTGACATGAACAATGGAGTGGTGCCATGCAGCGCTGACGTCTTTAACTTCAAGAATAAATATGGTCTTACCCAGGCTCAGGTAACAACAACTTCCAAGTACCCCACTAGGTTTATTGCAGTGTCATTGTACTTAAATGTCTGAAGGTGTGGTGGTGGTCAAGAACAGTTTGCCTCGTTCGCATGTGTCCGCGGCGAGGGATCAAACGGCAGTCTCTCCAGCTCACTGTCACAGGGTGACAAATATCAATGCCTTCTCAGTGAGTATTCCAGCTTGACGCAGCCCACCTTTTCTGTCACCACTACCAAACAACACAAACAACTTTTCTTCAGCTATTCATGGAGCCAGTGGGGCCCAGAACTTAGAGGGCTACGCCTATACTCATAGAAGCTGGAGTTACAGTAGGTAACTTCAGTTCTATGAGTATAGGCTTCGCCCTCTAAGGCTATCGCTATTGGGTTAAGGGCGAAGCAAGATGTAGTCTGCGCCCCACTGGGTCCGCCCGGTACTAGAAGCACAGACACACCTGCTCAGATAATAACCCATGCCTATTGCGCCATGCGACTGGCACATCACAGTCCCTGGAATATAGCATAACATGAACACTTTCCATGAGGGGACGAGGCTGGGAATAATACATACCTGCCGCTGTGAAAAAGTAGAGACGAAGGTCACACTTTGCCCAGCGACAAAAAGAGGGGGAACAAGGTCAGCTCTCTGTGTGTTGACAGGCAGGAGAGCGCACAGCTGGATCCCTGACATCACTCACTCTGACAAGACACTCCGTACTGTGTGTCAGAGAGGAATGGGAGACATCCCTCATATCAAATTGAATAAATGAACAGGGGGAAGACCAAGAAGCAGCAGTGCAAATGTCTTCCACTGACATTCCTCTGTGCAAAGCCGTGGAGGAGGAAATTCCTCTGGTGGAGTGCGCACTGATGTTCTCCGGGGGATCCACCCCAGAGGAGACATATGCCTGTGACACAGCCTCACACAGCCAGTGTGACAGCCGTTGTGCAGACAGAGGCTGCCCGAATGAGCGCTCTCTGTAATGCACAAACAGGCACTGGGAACGGCGCCGGGTTAGGGCGTAAAACAGCTGAACTGCCATCTCCTTGGATCCGGAGACATGACGGAGCCACAGAGAGAGCAGACAAATCACTCACCCTTTTCGCTGATAGAGCCAAAAGTAATAGCCTACTACTTTGGCTGATAACAGTTTAAGGGGAACCTGATCTAAAGGTTCAAATGGGGCTTTGCTTAGTGCGTGTAACACCAAAGCCAAATCCCACTGAGGCGCCAGTGTGCGTGACACAGGTCTGAGTCTCCGTACTCCTCGCATTAAACGGCTGGGTGGCTGCTGATCGCTCCCTCTGCCTGGGAGAGAGCGTCCCCGCGCCACGGAACTTCCCACGGTCTGCCTGACAGCGTACGCTGTAGGCATGGAAACCAGGACACTCCTGTGCGCTCCGGGGCTATCAGGACCGCTGATAGCCGCTTCTCCCGCACTCGGTCCGGGAACCGAGGGGTCAGCGGAACTGGTTGGAAAACCGTATAACAGCACCCTGGGCCACGGCCGATGTGCAAACGCGTCTACCCCCAGAGGGGGGTGATCCTGCGCTCTGCGAGCCCCTCTGTTCAATTCGCCGGGAATATATATTGCTCTGATGGAGAGCACCGTGTGTGTGCTCAGCCGCCTGGCTGCTGTTCAGAAGCTGCACAGATCGTACTCCTCCCTGGTGATTGAGGTAGGCTGCCGTGGCCTGTTGTCTGTGCGACACATGTTTGATTGTACAGCAACGGGGCGAAGTGCTGGAATACTCCCCAAAATGGAGAGCAGCTCCAGCACATTTACCTCAGACGCACAGGGTCGATGCGCAGGCGAATGAACCACCTCTGGAGTCTCCTCCTGTGGGGGAGACCCAGGGGGATCACCACGTGACCAGCAGATTTTAACATGAGTGTGTACAGAGTGCCACAGTGACCCGTCCTAAAACCCGGAAGTAAACTCCTTCCGGTTCCCTCGACATTTCTCCATAGGATTTTGGAAAATAGCTCAATTTAAGAGACAGATCACGTTTTGTTCAGCCGGATAATATCCACATGTCTACCCTACTTTTATAATTTTCGAATCATAAATCTAATCAATAGATTTATGATGGATAGATTACACTACACTCCTTGGACATCATTTTTCATGAAAAACGTAGGAAAACCTCTCCTACGTTGAAAAATTAAAAAAATTAAGCAAACATTTTTAACAAAATGCCTCTTGAGGGCATGAAGTGACAAACACTTTCAACATGTCTCCATTAAGGCCCATTGTAAATTCAGCCTGATCTTTCCTCAGAGCAGCAGCTGCATACCTTTAGTTAATCTGCCAAAAAGGCCACATTATTGACCCAAAAGTACACAAAAATTCTGCTACAAATGTACACAGCATTCACACGCATTTTCAGCAGGAAATGCATTATCTAGTTAGCTATTAGCTTCCTTTCCACCTTGTGCAAAGAAACCAGCTGTTATATGTTTAACTGAGCTATGTATGTATCAATTAACAAATTGGTCCACAAGGGGAAACTTTCTAAAGTGTTTTTTTTGTCTATTCTCTCAGACACTTGCCGTCAGTGACCATTTCCCTGTGGAGGTGGAGCTACGGACCACAGGAACCACTACACAGACCCCCACTACACAGACCCCCAGACGGAAGCAGACCTACCACGAGAGGTTTCTCTATGTTATGTTTGGTTTGGATGCTGTGAGGCGAGCTAACCGCTGTCAACAGTGGGGGCGCAAGAGTATTTTTATTGGGTAATCTATGGTAGGGCTAACCCATACAGTGGTGGTGCTCAAGTCAGTATTTGCAATGTAATTACATACACGCTATATCGCCCCCCTTGACAGTGAAACGCCACGCGTGAGGTTTAGATTATTTCCCTGTCTCAATCAAAATGGAACTGTATGAAATAAAACGGCACATTTGTCTTGTAGTAAATAAAAAGGGATCACTGTGAACGTGACGTATGATAGGACACGTTGAAGATCCAATGGGGATACTGAATGGCGGTTCCGACTGATCTCATCAGTAAGGCATGACGCAGACCCAACGTTGCGTTGCTCTGATTGGCTGTAGGTCTGACTCTATTCAAATTGCATTCGGAGGCATTTTGATCTGACCACGGCCGCGCTGATATTATAACGCCAGAGAATTTCCACACCTTTAGTGTATAAAACTCCCCACTACTTAGACTATTCCTTGCACCCCTCTTCTAGCATAACCCCGAATGGTCTAATCCATATTGCATCAGTAACGTGCACTTGTTGTAACAGCAGGATCAGTTTGTGTGTTGTGGACATGACCCGTATATTTTCGCAAGCCGTGTTCTCAACATTTAGCATTTTGCTTATTATTTAATTTAATTTGCTTACTTTAACACCATTTCTTGGTATGGCTGTAGCCTACCCCAGCCATACCCTGGCGCCGCCACTGGCTGTCAAGGACTGTAATGACCGTTGCTAAGGAGGATCAAGAAAGAGAAAGGAAAAGAGGTTAAAAAAAATAAAAGAATCTTAATAATGAAAATCTTTCCACAAAAATCTAAATGTTTTGCAAATTATTTGGCGGCAAATATTGATTTTACATTTACACCCTTTAATATTGTATTTGGGCTTTTAGATGAAGACACAAGATGCACACAGTTAATAAATACAACTATTCTTCTGGCTAAAATACTTTTTTTTGAAAAGTCAATCAAGGAGTAATCTTAATTTAAGGTGTTTGAAGAGTAGATTAAAAATACAATTTATTTTGGAAAAAATTATTGCCACAAAAAATCAAAGGCTGAACACGCCATGACATGGGAAATAATGAGCTCTAACGAAGAGTGGGATTATAGTAACTATAAATATGCCATGTTGTGTTTATGGTGGTTTTTGGTTTTCAACCTATTTTTGTTTTGTTTGTGAAATGTTGAAGTGATCCTATCTTTATTTCTTCTGTTTTTGTTTTGTTTTTGTCTGAGATGGGAATGTCATCTCCTATATGTTATTGTTATGTCCATGTTTGTGTCTTTACCCTGGTACAAAATTAAAAAATGTTTTTAAAAAAATGTGGCGGCCCACTTGCAATGCCTTCGCAAACCACTGGGGTGGCGCGGCCCACAGGTTGGAATATAGAGTTCTTCTGGCAACCATGCAGCTTTGAAAAAGAATTAAAAAAAATTAAGAAATGCCGAATTATTTCATTGCAAACTTGTCTTTTTTGAAATGTCACTCACTTGTATGTAATATAGTCTTTAGTGGCAGGAGTTAAACTGTGTGTATGTAACACAGAAGGTATCAGCACTTACATCATTACATGTATTTTAGCGCTTTTCCAGATGCTCAAAGCGCTTTAAATGACATATTACATACATTAGACATCATGAATGCTGTGGACAATACTCACAGGAGCACATTAGGGTGAAGTGTCTTCAAGGACACAGCGGCATGTTGCCTGCAGTGAGTCAACACCGTATCAATGATTTAAACACAATGTTTCCCTGCTTCTTAAACCAAACCCAGAGTTGGTACGGTTGCAAAGAAACATATTTTTAGATAAAGCAGGATATAACATCCTTTAACAATCTTTGTTTTGGTCGAAACAGTAGCTACTCAAATCTGATAGACCCCTAAGGGAGCTTGAGCACCTATATTTATGTTCATGGTTTGGATCAAAGCGTCAGCTAAATGTAAAGTAATATAAGATATATAAATATCTTCTTTTTTAAAAACATTTCTGATATTGTTATGGTTTGTCATCAAGTCTGTATTTCATATATACCGCCTGTATACATACTTAAATAAAGGGTTGATCTAATGGCAGAAATAGCTCGGGTTACCGACACAATCAAATCAATTGTCCCTGAGCCTGAGGACAATCTGTCCAACAAATCCATTGTGAGGTGTTCCCTGCGGGCAGACAGAGACACAAACACAGGGGAAACCAGAGGTGATGAAAGTGAGAATCAAATAAAAGCATTGAAATCACGGTCTGAGAAACCAGGACCTGTAATATTGTATTACGTCAAAACACATTAACACATATGAAACCATGAATCACAATGATAGCCCTGTTCCCTGTGTGTGTGTGTGTGTGTGTGTGTGTGTGTGTGTGTGTGTGTGTGTGTGTGTGTGTGTGTGTGTGTGTGTGTGTGTGTGTGTGATAACTTGGATGTACTTGGTAAACAATGAACATAAATAATATCACTGAGCTTAATTGACTGTCTGGCGTGTGGCTTGTTCTTTCTAATCGTAGTACAATATTTAAATGATTTTTATAAACCTAGAGGGTGATGGTTTGCAGTATCGCCTGTTCGTCTTTTCTCGTCATACCGAGTCTGCTATCCATCCCTCGTGACTAAGTATTCTTTGTTTGTCTCTTTGTGTTTTGAGCCTTTTGAGCCTTGAGTTCTCAGTTTGATCCAAGTGAGCGCTCCTGCTCCTGGTGTCTGGTGTCCACCGTAACAAAGTAGGACGTTGACAAAGACTTGGCGACAGATTTGAGTTTATTTATTGTTGAACACAATCAGCTATCATTCAATATATTATTTACACAAGCAATGCAAACCTCTTCTTTAAAGGGACACACAAACATCTTAAATACCTTTTACTTTAACCTGTATTGTTATTTAACAATCTTCTTTAGAACCAGTTTGAGAAACTCAACAAACATGTCTCTTTCACAGAAATCCTGACCAGGATCCTTGAGATAATCCACAGAGCTTGCTGCAGTTTTGTGTAGGAACAATTTTTCTTTAAGTGCCGTCTAATGAAGGCCGACTTCTCCCCAAAATTCACCCTAAATGATCTAATTAATATGCAGAAATACATCAAATGGGAAATATGTATTTTAGATGTCAGGGTACCTTTAAGCAAGCAAGGCCACAATATGCTTGGCTGACATTTTAACTATTCATACAGTAGCAGGAAAAGCAAAGAATAACAACATCAATACATATTAAATGGCCAACCATAGCAAAGGAACAGCTTCATAAGTCAAATGTAAATCACAGGTAACAACGGCTGCTGTGCGTTCAGGGCACAAACACGTGTAAATAACAGGGTAGCCCTATACTAAAATAAACATTTAAAACGTGCAGTTAATTCCATATTTATTCGCAAGCATATTAAGTATCTGTATTCAAAAACATTTGTTATATATATTCCCGATGCTGTCAGTAATGTTGTCAAACACATGACTAATGAGGCAATTAAGACCTATTGTATCTTTACGCTAAACTTTGAATATATGTCAGTATACTGGGACTTTCAACCGCGTCGTTATATTCCATAACATATAAAGTTGTGCTCTGTCATTGAAAGTGAGTGTGTGTGTGTGTGTGTGTGTGTGTGTGTGTGTGTGTGTGTGTGAGTGTGTGTGTGTGAGTGTGTGTGTGTGTTGTGTGTGTGTGTGTGTGTGTGTGTGGTGTGTGAGTGAGTGTGTGTGTGTGTGTGAGTGTGTGTGTGTGTGTGTGTGTGTGTGTGTGTGTGTGTGAGTGAGTGTGTGTGTGTGAGTGTGTGTGTGTGTGTGTGTGTGTGTGTGTGTGTGTGTGTGTGTGTGTGTGTGTGTGTGTGTGTGTGTGTGTGTGTGTGTGTGTGTGTGTGTGTGTGTGTGTGTTAGCTTCCCTAGAGCAAGTGGTGCTGCTCTGCATGAATGAGGGGTGAATGACTCGTAGTTTGTAAAGAGCTCTGAGGGGTCGAGAAGACCTGATAAAGAGATTTATAAGTACAATCCATTTCAAATTTCATTTGGGAATAACAGACCATTGGGAAATTGAAAAGTCTTTGAATACATCAGTATAAATGGCATTTAAGAACACACAAGCTAAGCTGCATTTCGATGTGCAATGACAATAAAGTTGAATCTAATCTAAATGGTGTTTAACATTAAGAGGGGGGCCTTATATTCCCCCAACAAGTTTAAGAGCCCCTGATTTACAGTATATGGTCATTACTTATGCCAAGTGTACATTTATTTACAAAGAGGTTAATCTAACCCTCCTGTTGTGTTCGTTTCTCCCCTGGTCTGTTCTAACTGCTCTTACATTAACACAAACACCATGAATCATCACCAAGTGTTTTTTATCACCTTTAAGATGTCTCAGACTACGGGTTATGAATAACTGCAGTAAATATATAAAGAATAGACACTGAAATGTATTCCAAAATAACCTTTTCTCGTCGTGTGTGTACTATCTGATGGATGAACATAATCTAGGGTCACCCAAATGTAAAACACAATATTTATGATTGATGAAAGTAGTAGATTTGACCCGAACACGACAGGAGGGTTACGTGTTTTTTTGCATGCAGTGTTTTGCTTCTACAGTATTTCCGTGCGTTCGGTATTTGCCCTTACGAAGTGGTGGTGGAGTGTCGTGCTGTGAGTGTGCGCGGACGGTGTGAAGGTGTGTGAGAGTGTGTGTGGACGAGGCTTTGTACAGCGTGTCTGTACCTGGCTGACATGAGGTTGTACAGAAGAGGGTTGACGGCGGCACTGAGGTAGAAGAGGACGGAGGACACCAGGTTAAAATACTGAGACAGATGGTAGAGAAAATACGAGTGTGTGTCAGAGTATGTACGGTTGAAGCCTGTGTCGTTGTGTGTGTTATCGTTGTACAGATCGTATGTGTTTGAATATACGTCTGTGCTCATATCTTCAGATTGTGCGCCGAAGTGTGTGTCAGTGTGTGTGTCAGTGTGTGTGTCAGTGTGTGTGTCAGTGTGTGTGTCAGTGTGTGTGTTGGTGTTTCTACAGATGTCGCAGGATATTCCAACTGAGTCTGAGTGGTTGAATGGTTCAGTATCAGAGTGTGTGTTCATCTCCGAGTGTGTATCTGTGTGTGTTTCCTGTCTGTCCGAACTGGTGCCCAGAGAAAGACTGAACATGGTCCGACCCACATGGAAGGGCAGCCAGCAGAGGACGAAGGCCAGGACGATGACTCCTGCAGGAGGAAGAGGAGGAGGAGGACGAGGAAGAGGATGATAGACTCATTATTAATCATTGACAGTTTTAAACATCCATCAGGACCAAAACCCAACCCCACAATAACTGTTTAAAGAGAACTGGTTCAACATTTTGAGACGTTTATTCCAAACTTAAACCCACCCTTGATATCAAGCCCCGCCTCTCAGACCTAAGCCACGCCTCTGATTTGTAAAGCCCGCCTGTAAGACTAAAGCCACGCCTCTCATTCTTAAACCCCACCTCCCAGTTGCCACGTTAAGTCCACCTTCAGTTTAGAGGGAAACAAACTCTGATTTCAGACAGGTTCAATCATACAGGTTCACAATTGAGACAATGGAAGATATTGATGAATACATTCTCGTACAATCTGCATCCCAGAACTCAGCCTTAAGTTTGACCCAAATTCAGTTTCCCAAGATAGTTCTGTTTTAGTGAGGGGACGAGCGTTACAAAGAGATTGTACACATCTGAAATCATACCCATTTTGTCATGTGGACAAGACGGAAAATGGGGTTGCAACAAAATGTCCCACTTGAAAAAGGACCTAAATGTTATAAACAAATGTGATCAATCTGAGCACCGCTTTCTGTGTGTTTGTGTTGTAATAAAGTGCTGACGGTGTGTGTCGGGGTGTGTTTCTCACCCAGCATTTTGACCGTGTGCCGGTGACTCTGGTCTCGGCGGCTGCTTTGAGGACGCAGCCACAGCGTGCGTCCAATCAGGCTGTAGACCAATCCCAGAATGCACAGCGGCACCAGGAAGTACAGGTTGGAGACGATGATCATGGCCGACAGCAGGCCGGAGGTGACGGCGTAATGCGTAAAGCGACACTCTCTTTTATCCGTCTCTCCTTTTCCTCCGCCCTCGTCTTCTTTCATTTTATTTTGACGCTCAGCTTCCACCTCTTCTTCTTGTTTTATTTTCCCTCCACCTCCATGTTTCCTCTCATCTCTTTCCTCTTTCTCCACTTTCTTTTCTCCCAAAATGTTTCCCTCCAATCCTATCATTGAGTATCCACTCCCTCTTTCTCCTCCACCATGTTTCCTCTCATCTCTTTCCTCTATTCCCACTTCTTTCTCTGCTATCTTTTCTCCCCAGTGTATTCCCTCCAACCCTCCGTCCATTGAGGCCCAGTGCCCACTCCCTCTTTCCGCTCCACCTAACGCTCCTTCCTTTTCTCCTTCCCACCCTCCGCTCTCCCCCCATCCGATGAGCTCCTCCCTCCCAACTTCCTCCACTCCCACCATGACCAACACTGGCGCTGCGCTGACGGCCGCCCCGAGCCACAGGCAGCCAATCAGAGCCCTCGTTCTGCGCCGTGTGACCAGGGTCTTGGCTGTGATGGGCCAGCAGACGGCCAGGTACCTCTCCAGCGACAGGAAGGTGATGTGGAGGATGGTGCAGAAGGTGCAGCACTCGGACAGGAACATGGTGAGCTTACAGGCCACGTCTCCTAAATACCAGGGGCTGGGTCTCCAGAGCTGGAAGACACACAACAATCACGTACGCTCGGTTACAGCTTTATTTCTGAAGAACTTCTGCAGATTTCAACAATATTATCATAAAAAAGAGGAAAGCAGGGTGGAGCCAACTGCAGGACGTACACAGTTTCACTGAGACATACCTTAAAGGTCCCCTATTGTGCAAAATCCCCTTCTTCATGTCTCTTCTACATCAACATGTGTCCCCTCTTCTTCATGTCTCTTCTACATCAACATGTGTCCCCTCTTCTTCATGTCTCTTCTACATCAACATGTGTCCCCTCT